AAACTTGCATACATACAAACATAAAAAGGTATAAACAAACATATAAATAAAATTCTAGGTCTAGATAGAATGCAAGTAAACTAGGTTTCACAATAAAAATAATGTTGTCCAGGCATCATATAAAATCCTATGTAATAATATCAAAAACATATCATATCATAACATAACATATCATAAAGTTTTCAAAAGAAATACGATCGCTCATTGCTTACTTCAAGTGTAAATTCGTCTACTGTGTAAAAACCTTTTTCTGATAAATAACGTTTCAATTTTTTTTTAAGATATGAGGAGACAGAGTCTTTATATCGTTTGGCAGTAAATTATACATTCGAATGCCGGCATATTTAGGAGATATTTGATATTTTGCGTGATGGTGTTTTCGTGTTATGATCATATCTTTTCTTCTTATATTATAGCTATGCATCTCTGTTTTTGTTTGGAAAAGTTCTTTATTTTCATGTACATATGTCAATGTTTTTAAAATGTACAGACTTGCAACTGTCAATATTTTATTTTCTTTGAATATATTTCTACATGAAGTTCTAAAGTCTAAATTAAATATCAACCTCAGCAGTGCTTTTTGTTTAAAAAAAATCCTGTCTGATCATGTCTGATTGAAAACTTTTCTAAATTGAAATATATTTAACAGATAAACCAAGTCGAAATAATCCAAAATAACAACTATTCAAACAGACAAAAAGTAAAAGACAGTGCTCTCAGAGAACGTGAGCAGCAATCTCAAAATGGCAGCTGTAATTAATTTACATTTTTAGCACTTTTTGATGCAATATTTATTATATAAAGATTTCAATGAAAACATATAATGATAATCAAACTCACCAATTACTTCATAAAAAACTGAAAGGACAAGCTCATCTTCAATCACGTAAAAAATATTTTGTAAATTCATCGCATTATGTATTCAAATGTAGCAGAATATTAATGTGCGATCTATATTGGTGAGTTCTAGAACGAGTTGGAATTGTCCTTCGTTCCATAAACGATATAAAAGTCCAGATTCTAAGAACTGAACATCACTTCTTGCAAGTGCTTCACTAGAAGAACACACAGACACATATATATGATGAAGACATATTTGGTAAGTGACAATTATTGAATCCAATCAATTACTGCTTTCTTCAATAATGGCATGATTTACGTAATGATTATGGAATTCAATATAATATGATATCATACTATAAAAGGCATTTGGAGTGTTTGCACCATAAATTGAGATTTGTGGGAAATAATGAAAAAATATTTATTATGAAACTGAAGTTTCATAATAAATAGTCTATTATAAAAAATAAATACACACTTTTTGGAATTCATCCATACCAAATTTCAAAATCTAAAATATGAAATTAAAAATAAAATTCAACAAACAACGTAGATTCGAACAAATATCTTAGATCTTTCAAGTCAGACTACTTTGCACACATTTTGATTGGAGGGACATATTTTTGACAGGACATAAATGAAAACAGGAATTCGAAAAAAAACTAAATAAATATCAAACAAATCGATGAAAATTCATTCGTATTGTACATATAACAAAAAATGAACAATAGCTTTTCTTAAAATATACCCACAATATCCCATATTGAGAATACCCTTTCATTTCCATTTGAAAAAAATCAAGAAAATAATGTTGTCAAGTTTCGATTCAGCCAATATAAGATTTCGGAAAAATCATTTCAAGTGAGGCTTTCACTCGGCACCTTGTGAATTGGAGAATAATTCAAAGAAGTCCTATATATTGGTATCGAAATATATGAAACATTTTTTGATTAATTCACATAACACTTCTATTAAAAGTCTGATGTGATATAAACAGTATTTTAAAGTTCAAAGTAAAACAACCACATCGAAAAAAAAACACATCCACATACCAATTTGACCACTTGCATGAAAACTCATCTACAGAATAAAATTTCTCACCCAGTAGACCCTCACGTTTCTTCAATTTTTCTCTATTCGTATATAATAAAACAAGTTGATGAATTTGTTATGAAACGTGTGCGTATAACATGTTCATTTGAAAGTCTGAAGTAAAACTATTGAAGTTTACGGGTACATTACGTATTTACTCTTCATATTAGTTACGATATCAAACATTAAATCAATAATTAAGTTATCTGTACGAAGAACAGAGTTGGAATTCCCATCATACCAAAATATACAATTCCAAAAAGATTATTCGAAATGACATTCTTCAGTTGTTTTGTTACAAAATAACATAATTGCTTCAACGCTATTTTCTCGTGATATTTTATTGTTGAAACTAATTAATTCCCAAGAATTTTAATAAGGTAACTATTGAATACATTGAACATTTTTTAGAAAAGTCGTGAACCGATTTACTTTCATTTATGGTAAGATCTTTATTCAATTTCTATGTTAGACCAATATTGTATTATCCTCTCGAAGAATATATAGATAGTATAACGATATATATTACGACATTCGAAAGTATAATTTATTTTATGGTTTTCGGTGTAGATACAAACTTTTTCATCAAGCTAACATGAAACTTGTAGAGAAAAAGGAACCTACTGAAATATCCGAAAAGGATTGGATTCTCTAAATCAAATGGAATTATCTAAAATAAAAACGATTTCTACAAAAAATTTAATATTTTTCATAGTTATCATGACACTTCGAAAAATAAAATATTTTTATAATACTGACTTCACTTCCAAATCGGTTATATTCATAGAAATTTTCTATTGACAAATTTTGTTCACCGTCACAAAAAAAAATTTTTAAAATACTTTTTTTTCTCAAATAAAACAGATCAAAATATATTATGATAAGAAGAAGCATGACATACAAATCAATTAACAGAGTTTAGCTTATTGAAATAGAAAAGAAAAAAATACCTCAAAAGTGTTGCTTTGTTCTCTCCTCTTCATGAAAGAGGACATATGCCTCCTCACTCACAAGCGATTTTGGTGAAATTGGGGACACGTGTAAATCGTTGTATTCATTTCATGTGCCACTATAAGGGTGTCTGCAATATGCTGTGTAATGCCCTTTTGAGTAGACCCGCTGTGATTTGAAAATGCATATATATTGTAACGACAAGGAGCCACATTGCTGCATAATTGCTCATATCTAATACTTCTAAAGAAAACTGAATTGCAACATTCATTGCCTCTGGATCTTTCCGTTGGAGAGAATCTTTTTAAATTAATCACTAAAATACCGGGAAACTTATGGATTGATAGGGACTTCACCTCAAACAGATAGGTTTTTTATCTCCATCCAGGGTTTCCTCTTTTGTGAAGAAATCCAAGCATTGTGACAAACTCAATTGGCCAGTTCTTTGTGGTATAGGGAGAGACAAATCCCATACTTATAGTATGTTTTCGAAAAGTGCTATGAAAACTATATTTTCATATCATTACCCTAATATTACATAGTTGTAATAACAATTATGCTGATTTGAGGAAAATTGGATGAACAATGTATTATTTTCAGAAGTTTATTCAAACGAAAAGTCGAATAGTAAAAACTGGTTTATTTCGTAGATAGGCTAACTTTCTCTAATAAACTTTTTTATAATAGCATATTTATTACATATAACTGTATAATATTAGATAACTATATTGCCTTTGTATAAGAATATCGGCTTCAGATAGTACACTCCAATTGATAATTATACCATCTTATTTCTTCTAAAACTTTCTTTTTCTTTACTGATGCTTTCCGTTCATCCAAAAATAATGTTGAATTTTCTTGTCAAATACACCTATATTTTAGAATATCTTTGTTTCAGTGTGTTACTCTTCTGGTCATTGGCGTAGCTGCGTCTTCGTCCAATAAAAAAGAAGAAAAAACCAAGAGGAGTTTACTTTCAGGAATAACTTCGTATCCCTCTCTAAACGGTTATAACTCTTTGGGATCCGATAGGTTCTCATCCGATGCTGGATTACACTCTATCGCACATGGAAGCGGATTGGGTCTCTCAATCGGTAGTAGTCTGGGTTACAGCACTTACGGAAGTGGACTACGATACGGCAGTTACGGAAGTGGACTAGGATACGGTAGTTACGGAAGCGGATTAGGTTATAGTCCTTATGCAGGTGTATTAGGTTATTCTTCTGGAAATAGCCTAGGACTCAGTGCTCTAGGAAACGGATTGGGATATTCTTCTGGAAGTGGATTAGATTACAGTACTTATGGAAGTGGATTAGGATACGCATCTGGAAGCGGACTAGGATATGGTTATGGTCAAGCGGGCATCCCAATTGTTGGAGCTGCTGTTAGCCAAGAAGTTGCCAAGCACACGGTGCACAATGTTGTCAACAGAATCCCAGTAGCATATCCACAGCCATACCCAGTTCCAGTCACTAAGACAGTACCGGTACCTCAACCTTATCCCGTAAGAGTGGACAGGCCAGTACCAGTCCAGGTGCGTGTAAATGTTCCAGTTCCAGTTGAAAAACCTTATCCAGTGGCAGTTCCCCATGCAGTCCCATATCAAGTTAAAGTTAGCGTGCCATATCCAGTCGAAAAACCTTACCCAGTTACCGTCACCAGAACAGTTCCAGTTCGTGTAGAAAAACCAGTATACGTGAAAGTACCTGAACCCGTTCAAGTTCCAGTTGCCCAACCCTACCCCGTTCCAGTACACAAACCTGTTCCTGTGAGCGTTCCCGAACCAGTTGTTGTTAAAGTACCAGAAGTCATCAATATCCAACATGCTGTTCATACAGCCAAAGTTGTTACTCCAGTTGTGAGTCATCGAGTACATCATGTCAGTACCCCAATTGTATCCGGAATCGGAAGTGCTAGTTTAAGCTCAGGTGTTTTGGCCACAAGCGGTTTGAGTTCCGGTGTTTTGGCTTCCAGTGGTGGCTCAGCAGTACTGGATGCCAGCAGTCTGACTTCTGGTGACTACTCAGGATTCAGCTCAGGGGTTTTAGGCTCAAGCGGATTCAGTTCAGATATTGTTAATGCTGATTTGAACAGCGGTCTGGTAGTTTCTGATGCAGGTTCTTGGAGTTCAGGTGGATTAGGCTCAGGTTCCTGGAGTTCAGGCAGATTAAACCCAGGTTTCTGGAGTTCACGTGGATTAAACTCAGGTTCCTGGAGTTCAAGCGGATTGGGCAGCCATAATATCATTGCCAGAGGTACTTCTGAGAAAGCAGCAAATAAACAGTAACTGTGATTGACGCTTAACGTTTTCGCATTGTCATTTTAAACAGATATGTATGTTTTCTTTTAATATAGTTTTACCATATGAACTTTAATTTATTTTTGCAAATAACTCTTCGGAAGACGAAATAGTTTTTGACCGTATGAATAAAAGAAAACCAATATCATAGCACTTCAAAAGTAATTGAAGTGATGAAAGTATTTTGCCTTAAGAACCACAATCATTCATAAAAAGATGAAACTGAAAAGCTGACATTATACGATAAAAAAATTAATTATACATAACCTCATAGTTTGCATTCGATAGTTTGATCGTCAAACACATCCCAAATGATTTTTTTTTTAGTATAATAATGAGAATAGAGTAGCAGAGGCACAAATATTCATATGGAACTGATTCAAAAACTACACTAAAAAATAACAAATAATGTACATGGACGAAACTAAACTGCAAAAATGTGCAGTAAACATACTAAGAAGTACTTTGGGGGGTCCAAATTCCGAAATATATAAACTTCAATGCCGATAATATCGTCAAATTTGGTGAACTAGTTTGAATTCGTAATCGTATTCAATGACACTATTATGAGTTCGTTTACAGAATCGCAACACGTGTTTCACTATGCAATAGCTTCCTCAAGGGTGTATGTGTTCAAACAATTCTATAGTGAAACACGGCTTGTAGTTTTGTGAACTGTTCAGTGAAAATCTCACATTGAGGTGTTATTTGAATACGATATGGATTTTCATCAAGTATTGAATAATTCCATTCAATGTTCATGGTTCAATAAAAAATATAACCTCAATTTGATAGATCGATACCCACTGCTTTTTTCAAATATATTTAGATAGGCAATATTGTGAAACTAATTTTATATAGCTGAAAATTGTTCTATATATAGCTGTTGATTCAAAAACTACACTAAAAAATAACAAATAATGTACATGGACAAAACTGAACTGCAAAAATGTGCAGTAAACATACTAAGAAGTACTTTGGGGGGGTCCAAATTCCGAAATATATAAACTTCAATGCCGATAATATCGTCAAATTTGGTGAACTAGTTTGAATTCGTAATCGTATTCAATGATACTATTATGAGTTTGTTTACAGAATCGCAACACGTGTTTCACTATGCAATAGCTTCCTCAAGGGTGTATGTGTTCATACTATTCTATAGTGAAACACGGCTTGTAGTTTTGTGAACTGTTCAGTGAAAATCTCACATTGAAGTGTTATTTGAATACGATATTTATTTGAATACGATAAACGTGCCTACGTTTCGTCTGCGATTGCAGCAGACATCATCAGTGGTATGCACGCTACCAAGTCGTTGCTGAAACTAGTGAAAAAATCCAAATATAAAAGTTTGTATTCCACCTTCAGCCACCATTGATATAAATACGCAAAACATATACCAGTAGACCACATATTTTTGCTGACTCGCTGTGTAGAACTGTGTCAAATCGCCTATTACGCTGAATTTTGTTCATCAGTTATGTATCTAAAACCAAGCATTATTCAGTTCAGCGTCTGAGTGAAGAAGTGCGGTGAGAAAGGGGGCATAGGAAATTATTTAACGACGAGTGATTCTATTTATGTTTACTTCTGTACGGTGGTTTGAGTTAGTCATACAATACCATGAAAACACGAAACACATTTCGATTAATTTTTTTGGCAAAGTTATTATTCTAGAAAAAAAATATTACTATGTTTTACTAGTTTGTTTTGATGTTTTTCTAGTGTTGAAAATAACTTGATTGACATATATTGTGGTATTCAATGTTGATATTTTTTTCTCATTATTTTTTAAAGGTATCGTTCCTTTATAGAATCCAATTTGGAAACCTGGGCAGGAGATGTTTGGATACTATCGATCTCAAATAAACCTAGTTGACAATCAATGTGAATTCTTTTATAAAGTATTTTCCCATGAGGATTTTCAATAATTTTTATTTATAATTTCTGGTGTCCAATAACAGTCTTCACGTTATCAAGAACGAGTCTCCGGAACAAACTATTGATCAAAAATATAGGAATCATAAAGATATTTTATTTTCATATTCCAAAATGGGTTGATCACCTATGATTCTGTCTCTGATTTAACTGACCAACTGTATATTGGCAAATATAACTTCACCCCATCTCAAATTTCTAATGGAAGCTTGATGTGACACATACTGTATACAGTTCACTTTACTCGTTTTCAATTCCTTAAAAAAATGTACCTACTCTTCGAATATTTTTGGGGATAGAGTCATCATTTTAACTTCTTTGATATGTGAATTCAATCAAACTACGTAGGTATAGGTAATAGGCACTAGACTTGAGTAATGAAGATATTAAAAAAATGTAGGTATAGGAAATGGAATGAACCAAGTTTATACACAGGATGGTTTTGAGTACCATCCAAAAGCTCTATTGAACAACAGGGTGTCTTAAACCTAGATGATTGAAACATAACTTTGTTTGTATGATGTGTATAAATCGGACCTAATTAAATTAGAAAATTTGTATGTTGTGGGTTATTCGAATTTTAGACATCTTCTGATGATGTGTATCAATTCATCAGAAGATGACGAAAACTCGATATATTTCTATTGTGGTGTGGAAAAACTGTTTTGATATTAGTCAATATGGCGGATAGTGAAGTCGTGTTGTTAACAGCAGACCTAAATAAGCTCAAAAAGAATGATCTAATAGACATATTTATAAACTTTAAACTTCCTCCGGGTGTGAAAAGTTTAAGTGTAACTCTAGTTAATATTGAGAAAACAGAAGGAAAACCAGTTAATCCCAATAATGCTACATGTGCGCAGTGCGAGTACCTTACTAGAGACTTAAATGCAGTCAAAATTGAACTTGCATCTGTGAGCAAACTTTCATATCATCTGGAAAAAAGAACCGAAGAACAGGAAAGTTCTAGTGGAAGGAATGAAAATCACTCAAATTCGAATTTTTACAAACACTCGGGACTACAAAAAACCAGTCTCAAACAATTTATCAGTTAACAACAATCACAATACAAAAACTAGTATTGATGAAAATCTCTCAACCTACCTACATTGTAGNGTAGTAACTCCTGATTTTTCACCACATGAGATAAATTACTTTTTTTGTGAAATAGCTGTTAATATTAATAAATATCTTCCGAACATATCCAATGATGAGCTCCTTGGTTTCAAGAACTTTCCTGCACCCTGCAGTTCTTTCTATTTGCACCCTGTTACTCATTTTGATGTTTCTTCAACCATAAAGTCTTTAAAAAATTCTAATTGTCTTGATATTCATGAACTAAATAGTCGAATCTTGAAGGAAACCAATTTAATTGCTGTAAAACCTTTCACTGAGCTCATAAATATTATGTTCAATACTGGTATACAATCTAACATTTTTAAATTATCCAAAGTATTACCTCTTCATTTATATTAATGACCTCAGCTGCTTTATGTCACCTTATAGATCAGTTCTCTTTGCAGACGACTCAACGTTTATTATTTCTGAGAAAGACAACGTGAACTTGGATGCTTCACTGGATTGCGCTACTAACAAGGCAAATGAATGGTTTGCAGCAAACAAATTAAAATTAAATAGTAATAAAACACAAATAATGCAAATATCAGCAAATAACCAATCAACTGTTAATCAAAAAATAAAAAGCTTAAAACTGCTTGGATTAGTGCTGGACCACAGACTAAACTGGCAGACACATACTTAATTACAATTACTTAAAAACTATCTAGTTCCTTATTTATTTTACGACAATTGAAAACAATAACTAATTTTACAACTCTTAAAATCACTTATATTTCACTGTTTCACTCTCACATTTTCTATGGCATTACTTTCTGGGGTAATTCCTCCCATGTGATAACAATTTTTAAAATGTAGAAGAAGGCAATAAGAGTACTTGCCGAAGTAGGTTTTAGAGATCACTGTCAAGAGTTTTTTGACGTGCTACAAGCAAACGTATTGTAAAGTAGTTTAATAAAATATATCTATCTATCTAATATCTAAGTTATTGAACAAAGTAAATACGTTTTTCTCAGAGTTCTTTGCAGAAGCTATCGAATGATTTCGTTTTTTTCCGAAATTGACTGGAAAACCGACACCACAATGAATAACCTGCGTTGTTCGTCACGAAATTATTTTTTGTGCCAACTTGTACCCGCACGGGGACACCTCATGCATCATAATGTACAAGATAAAAATCGTAATACACAGAAATTTACTCCATCATAACATCAAACGATAGAAATCGCAATTGATCATACAGTACAAGATAGAAACGTAAAGCGGCATAATGTACAGTTTCATAACGTAATCCATCATAATATACTTCATCATAACGTATTTTTTCAAAACGAACTCCGTCATAACCCTTACGTATATTAATATCATACAATCATAAACACAATGCACCATAAAATCATTCTATCATGGGGACACCTAATGCATCATAATGTACAAAATAGAAATCGTGATACACAGAAATTTACTCTATCATAACGTCAAACGATAGAAATCACAATTGATCATATAGTACAGGATAGAAATGTATAGCGGCATAATGTACACTTTCATAACGTAATCCATCATAATATACTTCATCATAACGTACATTTTCATAACGTACTCCGTCATAACGCTAACGCATCATATTATCATTCTATCATAAATACAATGCATCATAAAATCATTCCATCATGACAACAACGCATCATAACATCATACGATCATATTCGTAATCGGTAGAAACCTTAATGCGTGATAACGTACTTCATCACAACGTAAAACATCATGACGTGAAGTATCATAACGTCCTTTGTCATAATCCTATAGTACATGCGCTTGCTCATACTATATGGGAATAATGGCCGAAGTTGAAGTTTTGAACTCATTGAAAATCTAAGAAGAACCCTATGATACTGAAGAAACTTAAATATGATGAAACACTTGAATTTATTAATTCATTATTCATAATTTTCCATAATTCTGCATTATAATGTTGAGTGAAATTTTGAGACAGTTGGCTGCCTTGAAGACCCATTTGCACCATAAAACTAATTGCGAACGAGTTGGCCATTCGTCATC